TGTCTGCCCAAGGCTGGCTACTGCCTTCTGGATCAGTTGGCACCCTCAAAAGGAAAGAGGGACCATCTCTTTCATGATGGCAGCGGAGAAATGCAGAAGGAAAAAGCTTCATGAATGCAGGGTGGAGAAAGCAGAGGTGGTGAGACCATCAACATAAAGCCTTCAGAAAGTGTGATGAATAAGAAATGCCAAGAAGAGCAAGGAGCAGGCACACAGTCAGGGCCCAGCTAGAGTAGGAAAACTATTTTACTGAGGGCTTAGAGGGGACTTTGCAGAGTCTGTTGTAGGCCGAGAGATTCTCTGAATGCTGCTGGTTTGAAAGCAAACCTAAAAGAATTAACCTGCCCTATGAGCACACTGTGGGTAGAGAGGGTTTGATCACAAACTCTCTTATTTTTGTTTTGCTTCATTCAAGAGGGCCAGTAACAAATTTTCAAGGTTCACTTGTTCTAGTTTATGTTCAAGTAGAACAAAATTTTAGGTTTTAAAAGTTTCTTTGTGTTGTTTTGATCCATTCAGAGTTTGTACTGTTTAAAGGCAGTGGTCTTTTAGCCTTTCTAGATACCAAATTAAGTATTCAGGACAGATGCTTTAAGAAACCTGGCCAAATTTTCTTGAAATTTGCAGTTTAGGCTAAATTTTCTTGAAATCTGAGGTTTTGGCTGGAATACATGTTGCTGTTCTATATAACTTGCCATCCATAGCATGAAAAAACCAGCCATTTGGAGGAAAAGCAGTTAATGAGCTTTGCTTATGAATATGGTTATGATGATTTTTCTGTCGGATTTTGACATATTACTGGCATTGGTGACATTTTTGTTTCCTTTCTCTTGTATAGAAATAGAAAGATTTTAGAAATGTGCTAAGTGCTTCATACAGGCAGTGTTGCACTGGACACAGTTACATGCCAAAGAGAAATGAGATATATGCATTTGTATCTTGTATAGGATAAGGATCTTCAAAGGGCTCTGGGTAGAACAAAGCCCAGCCTGTAAGGTGTGATCAAATAGCCTGCTGAATAAGACCAAAGAGGAGGAAACCTTTTGGTACAGCAGCCCTGGTTTGTTTTGCCACAGACAGTGTATTCTTTGTGTGAGGTGCCAGTTTTGTGTCATCCCCATTTACACATGCACATGAAGTTCCAGCACACGCATAGTAGTCTCCTGTCGTGCATATGGTAGAGTTGTAGCTGCTCTTAACTCCTCCATCATCCTACTCTCAACTCCTTTCAAAAAGTTTTTGAAAACCAGTGCATGAAACACATACTCCAGAAACTAAACTCAGCAGAAAGCTTAGGAAATAGAGGCTTAAAAGGGGATGATGGGGTGTGGTGGAACCAACCCAAACCCCACTATTTGTATCTCCCCGTTGTTGCAGATGAGGTTCTGTAAATAAAATGACTGGTAACCTTCCTGTCATGAACCAGAAGACTGTATATTAGTACTTGCTATGAGGAATAAGTTCTATAAGGAACTCTCTTCCTCCTTCCCTGAAACATTCACAAGATTTCCAGCCATACATACACAAGGACACCTATATATGAGCTGTATAGCTCTTTGTATCTCCATCATTTATGGAGGCCTTGTTCCTTCATGGTTCTTCAGTGGTGTAGCAAGAAAGCATTGGAATAATAAAACTTTGGAAATGACAATTATTTTGCTTTTTTGGGTTATGTAAATATAAGTAAAGACTGCATCATTCTCTTTGTTAACCGAGAGTAAGAAAGGCTTATTTAAGTTCTTATTAATCAGGTGCTAACAATGTACAGTGCTGGAGGACCTACCTTTGTATACTTCTGATCCAATGCAATCCCAGGCAGAACAGAATGAGTCCCTTTTTGTGCAAGATGACTGATGGGTTTCAGGAGGGCAGGAGAATGCGTAACATCCTGCATTGAAAAACTGAAGAACGGGAGACTGTGCAGTGCAACAGTAGGAGCTTTTACCTGTGTTAGTGAGAGAGTGAGTCCACAGGTAGAATGTGAGGTCTTTTGTTATGAAGTTGTGAAGTAGAAATGAGAGCTTAGGACAAATGATAAGTCAGGACACCACAGCTGCTTTTAAAGAACAAAGATTAAAAAAAAAAAAAGTGGATTTGATGAGAAAGATGGGTCAAGGGAAATCTTTCAAAATTTTCGTAAGAAGCAGCACATCTGGACTTGTTGGAGGATGGAACAAAAGATGGAAATCTTTTGTTTGAGCAAAAGAGTTTGATGGACAGCAAATAAACAGAATATGAAATACCAAGCTGTAGCTTTTTAGATCTGAGCTGTTTCTAGCTAAATGGTTTGCAAAGGTTTCATAGCCACAATAATCTTTTTTCTAATGTTCCCAAACTTTCATTCAAATGATTGAAAAGCTCCATTGCTGTTGCTGGCTTCCAGACAGCTAGTTGATACTGCAATCAACAATTGTTTGAAGGAAGGCTTGATTAAAGTGTCACATAACTATAGTTAACTGGCATGTGACTTTTGTTTCTCCAGCAGACTTTTGTTTCTTCCTTATCTTGAGCCTTTAAGGAGGACCATGTAGAGGAGATTTTTTTTTTCTCCTTGGGGCTTTTTTTTTTTTTTAAGTGAAACTCTTGAACTTTCCTCTGAAACAAAATTCGTTTGATGTTGAGTGTTTCTTATTCAAATGTCCTTGACATATAAAAAGATCTTGTATAACCTGTGATGTACACACATTAACAATGAGGAACTGAAACCTCTCCTCATACCATGTTTTGGGTTATACACACTCCAACCTTAATTGTCTTCCGGGTTGGTAACAGATCATAATAACTGTTAATTGTTAGGACAGAAAAATATCTAGGACTTGCTGGGCTAAGAGAAGATCTTGCCCTTAAAGTCCAGTTGTCTTAGTTTAGTAATGAGACGTGACAAATGGGTGAAGCTGGAAAGTGGGTAAAGGGTGTTGTCAGATAATGCTCTTGTGAGGTCTTTTGGGACTAGCTTAAAACATTCACTGCCATCCCAGAACAGAGCATGCACCATGAGAGTGGTTCTCATCTGTACCTGTGCAAAGTTTTCCAGGTCAGCCAAGAGCTACTGATGAAGTCACTTTGAACCCATTTGACATTGAAAGTTAAGAAATGCTTGGACAATCCAGTTTGATGACTGGGCTGCGGGAACAGTAACCTCCAGCTGTGACACTGAAACAAACAGCTGGGAGTGGCACAGTGAAACTGCACTGGCCACTTCCAAAGTGATTACACCCTAATGTACCCAGTGCCTTTTCAGAAAGGAGCTGATGTAGGCTCTGTTAGCAAGGAAATAATTGTCATCCACCTCTCCCCTCACAGGTACTCACAGGAGAACATCCAGAGGGTTTTAAGGAGGGAAGATTGGGTTAATGCCATCACCACTGAATTTCACTGTGCATGAGGCAGGCTTGGAGATGAGCCTCAGGGTTTTGAAAAGAGAGGCCAACAAGTGTAGCACAGGTGGCATAGGAAAGGGGTTAAAAGACAACACTGCAAGGTGATAGTGCAGAGAAGTACATCAGGACAGAATTATGGCTTGAAAGAAAGAGTATGGTGGAGGGGAGAGCCAATAAAGGCAGTCCTCTGTGGCACAAGATGGGAGAAATACCACAGTAAAGAGGCAGGGGAGGAATGTTATCTCAGGACCTGAGTAAAAAGGCCTCTGAGAGGCCTAGGAGGTATCTGGCATATAGATGAGGAAGAGTATTGAAATGTTAATTTCAAAGAACAGAGGAAGATGTAGAGAGAGTCTGGACTGATCCTTAAAGGGGACCAGATGTTGGCAGTAGTCAGGGTATCAGAGGAGAAGACTAAGGCTGTTTAGGAGCTGGACTTCACAAATATCATGTTTTGAGGCAGGTAGTTCAGTGTTAGGGGAGGCAATCTGCAAGGTACAGCATTTGTGTCTGCTGACTAAGGACAGCAGGCCTGTTCTTGAGAGCTGCCAAGGTGTTAACATGAGCTAATTGTGTTATACAAGTGCCAGTGAGGTGTATCTGCAATATGAAGGGTCCTGTGTTTCACCCAAGATGGCTTGATTGGCCCAGTTTCAAGCAGGTAGTTTTCATAGTTTTGGTCATGTTTTTTCAGCAGTTGACTTATGTGTGTAGTACAGGCTGGAATTTCTCTCTTCATAGAATCATGGAATGATTTGAGTTGGAAGGAACTTTCAAGATCATTTAGTTCCAACCCCCTTGCCATGGGCAGGGATACCTTCCACTAGACTAGCTTCCTCAAAGCCCCATCCAACCTGGCCTTGAACACTTTCAGGGATGGGGCATCCACAACTTCTCTGGGCAACCTGCTCCAATGTCCACCAACCTGCTCCAATGTCTCACCAACCTCACAGTAAAGAGTTTCTTCCTAATATCTAATCTAAACCTAAAGAATTTCTCCCTGGTATTTAATCTAAACCTACCTTCTTTCAGTTTAAAACCATTCCCCTTTGTCCTATCACTACATGCCCTAGTAAGCTCCAGCTTTCTTGTAGCCCCCTTTAGGTACTGGGAGGCTGCTATAAGGTCTCCTTGGAGCCTTGTCTTCTCCAGGATGAACAACTTCAGCTTTCTCAACCTGTCTTTATAGGGGAGATGTTCAGTCCCTCTGGTCATCTTCATGGCTCTCCTCTGGGCTTGCTCCAGCAGGTCCACATCCTTCTTATGTTGGGGGCCTCAGAGCTGGATGCAGTACTCCAGGTGGGGTACTCCATACTAGAGTGGAGCAGAGTGGGAGAATCACTTACTCTGACCTGCTGGCCACGCTGCTTTTGATGCACCCCAGGATATGTTTGGCTTTCTGGGCTGTGAGTGCACATTGATGGGTCATGTCAACTTCTCGTCCACCAGCACCCCCAAGTCCTTCTCTTTAGGGCTGCTCTCAATCTTTGTTTTCTTTTAGAGTGTACTACACATACTTTAATAGCACAAAAATGTTTTACTTTATAAGATTATTTGTGTCCATGATATAAAAGAACAGTGTGGTTCACAAAGGTCTTCTGGTTTGCTTGTGTTCAATAGGAATTAGCCCGTCACCTCCGACCTGGAACTCTGCGTGCTGTCTTTGGGAAGGACAAGATTCAGAATGCTGTTCACTGCACAGACCTTCCTGAAGACGGGCTTTTGGAGGTAAGACCCGCTAGACAAACGTGTGTGCTCAACAACAGGAAGTTGTTAAGTGAAAAGCTGTTCTTGACAGTCTTTGAAGCTGGTGAGTAGCTGTGTTGAAGACCAGACTAGACACAAAAGCAGAAGTTTTTTAAGGGCATTTAACTCATGTAATTCTGATACTATAAAAAAATCATCCATGCATTTTTCTTGAATGAATATAGTACAATGAAGTATTTAATTAAATGAAAGTCAAGGGTCCTCTCTTTGTCTGAACATCCTGTGTCCTTGGCACTGAATATAAGCCCTAACGGTGCTCCTGCAGGGACACCTTCTTAGCCCTTGGATGACCACCATGATTCCTGATCTAGATTGTTTCTACAGTGAGCTCATGTGGAGCTTGGAATATTACAGGCACTAGGGATTTGAATTCTCCAAATAGAGTCCAGGTTTATTTTTAGACAGTCATACTTATGCACATCATTTTGTATTTCCTGTGTTTTACATTAAATTACTAATTATTATCTGATTTTGGCTTTGTATGCTTTCATTAAGGTCCAGTAAAATGGGAAAATGTTAAATTAGGGGAGTTTATAAAGACAGAAGTACTCACTATGAAAACCAGAACAAGCTCATTCACTTAATTCCGTGCCTCAAAACTAAGGTCTGTACAAGGGGTTGAAGTAGTGTGTAATCATTTCTTCAATGGATCTCTGTGTCAGTGAAGATGTTTTTCCAGTGCATCCATAGCTTGTGTTTTACTGGTTACATGTACTTGTGAGTGTATTGCTGTCAAGTTACAGCAGGACTATGGAGCAGCAAGAATTGTCCTGGCTTGGATAATTTTACATTGCCAAAATAGTGGTTTCATTGGGGAGTGAGGAAGAGCTGACTGCATCACCATCTCCCTTCATGAAATAACGTGTGAGATAAAGTGCTGTTTGCTAGGAAATTGCATCTAGTTTAAGGCATAGACTAGTGAAATTCAATACTTAGAAAGGCACCCAGTATCAACAAAGTTGCAGCTTTTTAAAGCATTTCCAAGGTGTCATTAAAAATGGACAACTTCCAGTTCCTTCCCAAAGGGACTGGATTTAAACAAGCAAACAGGTATTTGTCACCACATACCTGAAGTCCCTCAGTCATGGCTTTTCAGTGGCAGCAGACAGAAAGGCATAGCCTGCAAGGGAAAAAGTAAAGTCTCACCAACACTCAGAACAATTTAGTACTCCATCAGAATTTTCTGCCTCTTTCTCTCTTGGGTCCACAGTCTGTTTCCTTTACTGTTTTCCTTTCTTGGTGCAAAGCAGATATAACCCCATTTTGCTGGTTGTTTAAGTTGAGTTTATAGCTACTGTAAGTGAGGCAGGAATTGCTTCTCCAAAGCAGAAACTGAGGCCGGAATTCTTTCCCAAGGTCTCCACTACATGTGTTTGTCCTTTGAATCCCGCAGCTGAATCATGAGCTAAGTTCTTGATCTAGTATTAGTCTGACTACACACCTTGCAGTTCCCATTGCAGTCTGATCATTTTAACTTTTGTTTATTGATTATATTTTTTTGGGAGAGGAATCTAAAATCTTTTTTTACCATAGGCATAATTTTACACAGAATATGGCTCTTCATCAGTCTATAGTTCCTTCTGTAACAGTCCAGGTTAAGCCAGCCGTTGTAAAGGACGTTGCTGAATGTTCTTTAGTGAGAAATAAAGCAGTGACTGTTTCATTCTGATTTTTTGGCAAATAAGCATTATAATGTAAGCTACAGAAGCCTTTTTACTGCTAACACTTTAATTCTTGGAGTATCTTTAGATCTGTCTTCTGTAAGAAACATAGTTGCCTGAAAACATAGGTAAGCAAAGTAAACAGTAACCTCTGGATTTGCTTAAGTGCAAGAGCTTGTCACAACTGATGAAATACTGCATGCACAGAGATCCTTGGGAAGGACTTTTTCCTCAGTGAGCTTTTCTGTGAGAGGAGCTTAAATCCAGTCAGAGAGACTTCATTTGCTAGCAAGTGGAAACGAGACCTTTCTTCCCCAGCCTTGGTAACTGTAACAGTGCTGTAAATGTCAAGCTAGAGCAGAGTGACTGTGTGGCCTGCTAGAAGGAAACCAACCCAGACAAACCTTTTTAAGAAATATGCTCTTCAGTAAATGAAGTGAAGGTTTTGATTCTTTAGTGGATATTTTAATATAGTGAGTTTAACAGAGCAATTATTCTCGACCTCGGAGGAGGTGAATTCGGAGATAGGTAAGGCACTTGTCATTGACCTTGGCCATGTTGGTGCCATGAAACTTGCTTCTTTCAATATGGAGTTAGTGTTTGTTCATTATGTCCATGTTCTGGTAGGAGATGTTGCTGTTGTTGAGATGTTAATGCTGCTGTTCCTATTAAAGCTTTACAGTATCATTGTAGACCAGCTGATTAGTAGAGGAGTCTGGAGTATGTTTCAGGCAGAAATCTGACCTGCTAAGTTTATACTAAAAAGACGAAGAATCCCCAGCAGTCTCTTTTCTTTTCTTCTAGTGTCATTGGGTTTTGTACTGTGTTAGTGCTCTGCTGCAGTTTTTACCCAGTATAGCTCCAAAACCCAGACTTTATGCATATTGCACTCCTGTTTGGCTGATGAAAGGTAAGTTTGGCAACCTGATCAGGCACAAGAGCTAGGAACTCCAGAGTTTCATTTCTGACTGTGGAGCTGATTTTATCTGAGCTTGGCTAAGCCACTTTTCAAATTTTGGCATGAAAGTGTTTGGCTCTGAAATTATGTATGAAGAGTTTCTAATTTATATTTCTCTTCTCCAAAATAAAGTACTAAATGCGACAAATTTTGTAAAACAAACTGCAGAATCATTATTACGATAAGGACACAGAGTGGAAGTTCCAGTATCTGTGAGCTTAAATTGAGCCCAGTGGGTTTGTACAAAGAAAGCCTTGGCTGTATCTGTTGGCTGGTGTGTGCAGTGCTTGCACTGTTAATGCTAAAGCAGTTTATTAGGGGTCCATGCCACAGTCCTAACTCTTTTTTGGCCACATGTTCTGTGTGCACATCTGCAGGGTCAGCAGTGCCCAGAGGACCTTGGAGACAAGATGGAGTGCTGCTGTTGCCACTTTGTGGTTAGAAAGCTGAATAGGTTGGTCTGTGTGTTAATTGGTTTTGTGACTTTTGGACTTCCAGAACCAAATGGAGATGGAAAGGGGTTGATCTACTGTCCTATCATGAGCCTTAAATAGACTGTATTTATGGAAGCACAATAAAGGCATGTTCCTGTGTAGAAGGGAACACTCCAGAGCTTTCCTGAGAACTCAGGTAGCCTTAGTGTCAGATACTGCTTATCTTAAGATTTCTCCACCCTTCTCGGCAGTTTTCATCACCCACGGTTTCAGATATAACTGAAATTTGAAAAGGTTTTGCAATGGCAGCTGCTGTCTGATTGTCCACAAAAGGAGACTTCTAAGGGGAGATGAGATATGTAATTGAGGGTTAGATTAAATGCTTCCTGGAGTTAATAGCAAACTCTAGGTGACTTTGGTGGTTTGCACTAAATTGACTGTCACTAGGAAGTGCAAGGTTGTGACCTTTCTCCCAAGAATCATGACCATGGAGTACTTGGAGAAAGGAGAGAGAACAACTGTCTTGGGAACAGCAAGGACTAATTAACTAAATAAGGGTTAGCTTGTGCACTTAGTTTAGAACACTATATATAAATAATATAGTACAGCAGTTTTTCATTGTTTTTTTCTTAGACCTATTTTCCATGGACCTGGAAAAAAGGAAAGTTCACTTTTAATCTTAAAACCCCCTCAAACAAACAAACCAACCCCAAAAGCAAATACAAGCACTTAGCCCCACTAGTTTGACCCTTAACTCCTATTTTTGTTCTACAAACTACTTGATATTTTAGGCAGTGACTAACGAATATCAGAATTAATGAATAACTCACTTTGGCTCAAGAGAGGAGGGATTATGCAGTTGAGCTGAAAACACAACTGGTTGCAATGGAAAAATCAGTATGTTTTCAGTTGTAGAGCTGTAACTGCTCTTTTTATTACTAGTAGTGATAAAAGAGGAGGGTGAATATTGCCCTGAAGCCTCTTAGATGAGTTATTTGACTTACGGGGTCAGGCACTTACTTTTTCACTTCATAGACTTGTGTGTCCTCATATCAGTACAAAATGTATTTTCACAAGTGACAATGGATAGACACAAATAGCTCAGAACAGTCCGTTTTCTCAGGCTTGTCATCAGTTTCCCATTTTAATGAGGAGAGGAAAGAAAGGAGGAAATAGAGAAGGGAGACTGATAGCAATGGAGTATTTGTGAGATGATGGGGTTTTATGAGTGATTCACGAGTGAAGGCTTACCCAGGAGTTTCTTAATTTTTTGTATCAACTGATGTTGTGTAGGACATTCTTTCAGAGCAGAGGGTTGCATTTGTTTCCCACGTCCAGAGCAGATACTGCTCTGCCTCTTGTCAGTTTGATTTTTTCCATTTTTTATAAGGGAGATACTTTTGGAGCAAGCAATCACTACTCACCTACATTCATGTTCTTTCTGAGTCAGGTAGAGCAAGGACTGGAACTTGCATATTTTATATGCCAAGGAACTGCTTTATTTAGCAGACTAGAGATATGTCATGTACATGTGTTGAAAGATGATTCTGTTTCTCAACTCACCTGAGGAACATTTCTGATAAATATCTTGTTGAAATAGAAGCTTGCAAACCATTGGATCTGATGAATCATCATTCTCTAGACAAATTTCCTTGAAATTGGTCATTCCTGAAATAGTTTTTAATCAAAGTACTTCATACAAGGTGTTGTGGCTAAAAGAGTTCACAGTTTACATGCCTCCTTAAAGAAGTGAAGGCAAATAAAAAATCAGTCAGTGAAGATCATATTCACATCACTGGAAGTACAGTGAGTAAAATTTCCCACAGGAGGTGGTGCTGTACACACACCTCAGTCCACTGGGTCTTAAGTGGCTGAGTACTTTTCAGATTATGCAGGAATCTACATAAT